TGTCGATGAAGTGTTTGTAATTGTAGCCACCATGGTCCCTCAGCCTATGACGGCTTGCGCTGGTGATTAAGACTAAAAGAGAAAACGGACCCAAGCGTTTGCCTCTTCAGCAGGCACGGGGCAAGATATTTGAGGACTGCGAATTGACGTGTATAGGATATCGATCCGCTTTCTGAGATTTAGATTCCTATTATGGCACTTGGCTTGGATGAAAGGCACAGGATGGCTTCTTTCGAACCTCTAAACACGGATTACTAGTAAGGGGGTAGAGACATAAGGCAACGAGTTGGCGGCAGACATCCATATGTATGTAAGGGATGTACAGTGTCTGCCAGAACACCAGCCTCCCAGTCGGACTAATCCTACAACCTAGGCAGACTAGCGAGCATTAGGAGGGAGGGATACAACGGTATATGACAAGTCGAGGCTATATCGCAAGGGTGACGAGTACTACTGCGGCCAGCTGCTGCAGGCCCTGCCCTGAGGTCATACCTTTATTTCCACAATAAGCGCGTCCAAGGATCCCAAGGCGTTGGAGTCGGATGTGGACCTCGCAAGCCTGAGGTCCTTTAGGCAGCCAACGACTTGTTATTCATTCATCGTGTGCTTCACAATGCGTTGCGGAGAAAGGGGATGCCTAACAGTCACACGTCTAGAAGCGGATCTGCAGGGACTACCTGGGCATGTCCCAAAGGTCTGAGGCATTCGTTTTGGTACTTGCTTGTATGTAGAGTACATGTACCTATCTTGGGACACTGCCCCAGGCCAGTCAGTGCCTGGAGCCGAGAGCCGGATCCGAAGAGGCAGGACTCATTCATTCAGAACAGCCGCATCCAAATCAAAGTACCGTTTTATACTTGGCATAAAAAGCTTAGCTGTTACCTACGCAGTAGGTAAGCAATATACCACACCCCTCGTTTGACCCGCCCGACTCCCAAGGCAACAAGAGAAGCCCGATGAAATGGATGCTGCATCGGCACTCTCTTCAAGTAGGCAATAGTCAATCACCCAGCAAGCAAATGTTTGCTACCCAAGGCAGGCTTTCTGGCCCTCCCATGGCCTTCGCCGCAATGATGATAGATCGCCTAGTACATACCTAGGTACAAGATGGACCGCGGAACCAAACCAATTGGCCTTGAGGGATCGAAGTCCTAGACGGAGAGAGAGTACTGTACCGCATGTCCTGGATGTACTCTACTCAACTGTCCTGTACGTCTCGGAGGACTCATCATATCACTCTCAACGTCTTACGAAAAGGCGAGTGGGGCGGGGCCTGTCAGTTGTCCTTCCCTCGTCAGCTGCACGCATACACCCATGCACGTACGCACGCACACGTATTCGCCCGCCCATACGCAACATGTGTCGTCGATGAGTGCGCAGGGGGAAGAAGATACGATACATACATACATACATGCATACATACATGCCTGGTAGGTATGGTATGGTAAGGTAGGTAATCATACCTAGGTAATCCTTCCGCCAACCTCCACCCACACAACCACCCACACCCACCACACACAGTCTGGGCTTGTCCGGGGTGACTCACTCACCGTCAAACCCTTCCATGCACACTAACGTTAGATACTTCTTCTCGCACACACGCAATTGAGTACCGTAAGTGCTGAATGTTTGCCATTTCAGTCCCCCAAAACTTGATGATACGCAGCAATCCGTCGGGACATTCCGCCCGTCTGTCTGTAGATGCAAGAAAGCCTTTTGCATGTTCGTATGACACAGCGGGCGGAGTTGCCAGTTGCGAACAAGGCAGCACTAGAGTAATAACTGTACGTACAGTCATAATTACAAACTACATCTGACCAGTCCACCGTCTGAGGGGATGTAAGCTGATCCCTGCCTCTCCTGGGCTGATTCCGCCCTCTCTGTCGTAGGGCTTAGTGTGCATTTCGTTGCCCGCCCAGTCTGGTCGAGATTTCCAAGCTGTTGGCTGCAGGGTAAAGTGCTACGCCACAATCTGTGCCGTGAAGGACTTGAATATTGGTTCAGCAGAATATTGGTTTAGCAAAGCAACTTGATGCACCCAAACAATCAGTTCTTTCCACTCACACATACCACCGCGAGACTTTCCAATAAACGGAGAATAAGCTCTAAAGTCATTTGTGCAATCGACACGAGACAATTACGGTATATCCAATTTGATATGTCGATCCCAGCCTTTGGTGTCAATGATTTGGGTAAATATAACAATGAGCCATCAACCACGATATTACACATTACCCAACAATATCTACCCTTATGCTTTCCGTATCCTCATTTCAAGCACTAGTATTACAATAACCTCGTTAATGTCCATTTGTTTTCGTATGTCAATCCCAATAGGCTCAGCCTCCTTTTCATTGTCAACCGCTAGGTCAAGGGTATTGAATCTTCAAACCTTCACTTTCCATCGCCAGGTGTAATCCAGGCAAGACCAACGTGCCATCACAAACGAGAAGATAGCAAGTATCAGTGTCCCACCAAATACAACGACAAGCCCCGTCGGGCCAACACCCTGCAAGATCTGAGCACTAAGAGGAATGCAGCAGAAAGCACTGTAAATGTTGGAATACTGTTAGCCGTGCGAGTGAACCAGTGCATATATTCCACTCACAAAATGCTGACGACGCTATAACTAGTTCCGTAGAACCGACCGAACTTATTGACTGTACAAAGTCTGGTTTCGAAGTGTTAGCGTACATGTGTCACGTAAGGTTTGGCATCACTGATCCTACTGTCCGATGCAAACCGGCGACATGCTGATAAGGCTTCCTGTTCCAAAGCCAAAAAGAGGACCAAATAGATATACCATCCAGACTCTGTGGTCAACCGATAGCCAAACACCAAAAATGACTGTAGTGGCCCATGTCAGGGTCAAGATGGCGGTATTGAACCGCCCAATATGGTCAGACATTGCTCCTGCCACAAATCGCCCAACGCCCGAGCCACTATTCAAATAACTTTGTCAGTCTAAGATATAACACGGTGCGCATTCATGAAGCTCACCCATTGGTCAGTGCCACAATGTTGAATGAGACCGCTTGGCCAAAGCCCTCCCGGATCACCCAAGTCGGAAGCAGGCCCATGGCTCCGATGAGTACAAACTCGATCACTGCAAGAGCTGTCAGCACAGCTTGAATGATCGATTCTGTTCAGGCACGTACAGGATATTCCCAGCGTTGTCCAGACAAGCCGCCAGTCCCTGAAGCACCTCAGGTCAATCAACCCGTCCCCTTTCCCGCCCCTGATTCTACCCCGGATCAGAAAACTACCCATACCAACCAGTAAGGCTACAATGCCGGCTATGATGCGTATCGTCCAGGCCCAGCCGAGTGTGGGTAGAGTGGTGCGCATGAGCAGCGGGAATCCCACGCCCCCAATGCTGCTCCCAACAAACACAATACCACTGGCGAGGCCTCGACGTTTGTCGAACCAATGTGAGATGACGCTCAGCGCTGTGGTGCATAGCAAAGCGGCGCCGGTGCCACACAGTACGCCCCAAGTGAGCAGCAGGCTGACATATCGCTTCCCTCCGCCTCCGCGATGCTGGTCGCCACAGCTATCGCATCCTAGGAAGCTCATGATGACCAGCCCGCCTACGTACCCAGCGCCCCCAGCTGGTATTAGCCACCGAGGGCCATACCGGTCGAACAGTGGTCCGATCTGCACGCCCAGGAAAAGACAGAGGAATATGTTGAAGCCGGGAATCCATGCAATGTCGCTGCTACTAAAATTGGACAACTGATGCGTCTCGAGATGCGCCTGGAGAATGCCAACAGAGTTGATGAATCCGAACGTAGCAATTGTAGTGAAGAAAGACCCGAGGACAGTGAGCCAAGCCCGTAGACCACCATCCGGGCAGGGTGAAGGGATCAATGGGTAAGCCTTTTCGCTGTAGAGTGCCGAACCTGTATAAGACTCTGAAGACTTGGGCCCAGTGGTTGAAGCGGATATAACTCCGCTGTCCAGTGTGGCAGCAAGGATCAAATCTTCCTCCGGCGGCAAATGAGATATCGTCGTCTGCGTTGCCTGCTTGACCTTTTCACAGGGTTGCCTCTTCATGCAAAACGTACAAATACTGTCAAGTATGACGTCTCCGGCTCCTCGAATGGACTGACAATGCCGGCCATCGTTTGCTGCTATTTGTGACGACTGTCGGCTTTGCTCCGTTGTCGAGGAGACACTCTCGCTAATTCGCCCACTTTCGCAGGATACCCCTACTGGACTGGACGTACTAGGGGAAGGGCATGGCGTTAAAGGAAGTCCTTGCGGATATGAGTTTTCCGATTGCTCATTGGTATATTGGAAATCCACAAATGTCATCCTCACACGCAGGCTAGACCAAGAACCAGACGAGGAAGACTTCGCACTCTACAAGATGACCACGAAATGATGGATGTCGAGCAGCAGCGAAAGCCATTCTCTAGCATCAACTTGTGAAGAAGCCCTCTGTTCTTCAACTGATTGGGAACGTCTGACCGCCACGGGTTGTGGAGTTGAGTGTGTACTGCCATCCGGGTGGCTCGCAAACCTTCCTGTGCAGTACAGTGGCCAGCAACCCCATTTGCACAAGTCTTGCTATCATTGATCTCAGCAAAAGCGGAGTTGAAAAGGTGAGAGGCTATAGCCTGATGCATGGGGAGAAATGCCAAGTTAGCATGAGCGGTCCATTCTAGTACTTTTCGCCTCCTCTAGGTGCACTTGATGAACTGTGTAGTGGAGTGACCTGTTCCCCTCTATGTCACAGCAAAGGATATGAAACGAAAAGCCCTCAGCATGAAGAATCAAATGCGATCAAGGGAGACTCAGCTCCAACGACTTTGAACTGACAGCAATGATACCTACAGCCCTAAATAAAATGACGACAAACCCCCCAAACGATTCCATGCCCAACCTCGTCGCGCCTTTCCCATACCTATAATCGACAAGACCCAGATGTTACGCGTCGTGGAACCAGAGCAAAATGGGAGCCAACGTGGTCCGTGACACCACATGCCCTGGTAGTTTTACACTTCCTCTTCCAGCATTTTGCGGCTGACACTCGCAACAAAGCTTTGATAACGCTCGTCCTCGTCCCTATTATCCTTCAACGAAGGGAGTCGCAATGGCGCAGCTTTGGCCAGTTTCTCCGTTTTCCAGAGTAAGGTAGACCGTCGTTGCCATGGATTTTGATCCTTCGTCTCCGGCGGCACACTATTTGCCTCCTCCGGCTTCTCCTTCTCCAGGACTTCCCCGTCCTCCTTGACCTCTTTATCACCCTTGGGCAATCTCATTGCCAAAAGGATATACTCAGCACGGGTCATGTTGTCCATAATGTCATCCATGTACCGCTGTACTTCATCCGGCGGTGCCACCACTTTAGCCAGGCTGTCTAGATGTTTGCCAGCAGGTGACCACAGACGTATCGTTACGGGCTGATAGTAATCAAGGGCTGGATCACCGCCGTATTCTGATGTACTGCCTTTGCGAACGATCAAGAAAGAGGCGATCACCTGTTGACCAGCAGGAGACTGCACATACTCTAGTATGCTAAACTTTGGGAACAAGTACCGATCGCCGCTGCCACCTGCAAACTCAAATACGATAGCCGAGATGTCTGGTTTGACCACCGGAGGTGGGCCTTTGGAGCGCAGGGCCTGTTGCGGAGGCGTCTGCACTCTTTGGCCCTGACCGGGCATGTTAAGTGACGGACTCGGGAGGCCATTGGGAGCGCCGCTGCCTTTTGACGGAACAGGTGACTGGGACAGTGCCTGAGATTTGAGATATTCCCGCTCCCTTATGACCCTGTTCTTCAGCCGATCTAGAAGCGCCTTCAAGTCTGTAGCGTCTGAGAATAGCGGCCTGTTCTCAGCAATGCGTCGGACCATGTCCCTGGTCTTTGCATCGTCCAATGCTGTTTTCACTAATAGTACGATTAGAGGATCGCTGCCCTCGGGTGGCCTCAGATCGGCGGACGTTTGCTTCGGATTGGTAGCGTAGACGATATCCAAGATGACCCTAACTTCGTCCGCAAAATATCGCACGGTCCGCCCGTCTACGAGCAGCCGGTCCGCCGAGGGGCCCTGTTGCCCACCCTTCCTTTTACTCTCGGCGGTGATCTGGTCTATGATTGCCTGGAAACGCTCGAGTTCCTCTTTTGGCGCGGCACCGTTGGCCACCCGCTTCATGAGGTCACGCAGCTGGGGATCCTCGGTAGCTTTCTCCGCCAGTGTGACGATGATCGGGTCCGTCCCTGCAGGCTGCGCTGGACGAGCGGACGGCGTTGGGGCTCCATTGGAAATGGGCGGAGTGGGAGCACCAGCTCCTGGGGCAGGAGAACGAGGTGGGTAAGAAGGAGGTAGAGCCACCGGTGGCACGGGCGCGATGGCGGGCGCGACAATCGGCGAGGGCGACGGTTGTGAGTGTTGTACAACAGCGGGTGACTGTGTTACCATGGGCCGCGAGACTGGCTGAGGCGTTGCCGTGCTCGGGGACAGCACACCTTCCATGCCGCGAGGGGAAGGTACCGGGTTCGGTGGTGCGTGTGGTATCGAGGAGGATGCTATCGGAGGTGCTTGGGCGGAAGCAGGTGGTGGAGGGGGAGGAGGGGCAGGGGGTCCCGGGGTCTGCGGCTGAGACGGCTGGGGGAGCGAGGCAGGAGGAGCGGGAGTCGAGTTGGCAGTCGAGGGTGTGGGAGGGGGCGGCATAGTTCCGTTGGGGGGCCCATACTGCATGATGGGTCGGAATACGGGCTGCGGCGGAGGAGGTTTAGGATCCTTGACGGCGAACATGGTGGCCTCAAAGACGTGCGGCTCGACGGTGATAGTGACGGGGCCGAGCTTGATCATGGTGTCCTTGGAAGGATTGTTGGGCTCTTCTATGACGACGCCTTTCCGCTTGGAGGGTTTGGACCAGTACTTCTCGAATATGCCTTCGCTGATCCATCGCTGTCGTGAGCGGGAGAGGGACTCTGCCAACACGCCGCTACACCGGAAACACGTTAGCCATCTGAACGGTGAACTCCTCATGTACGGCTTGCCAGCCATCACTGCGACTGCCGTTGCGCTGATGCTTACCTCTCTTGCACGGATTGGTAGTCCTTCTCCGGCAGATCTGCGGGCTGGGGGTCCTCGACGGTCGGTAGAGGCTTCCCGGCCTGTATGGACTTGGGCAACAGCTGTGCGGGCGCCGGGGCGGGAGGAGGAGGCTCTTCGGGGGCGGGCGTCGGTGCAGAGGCGGGCGTGGCCGAGCGATTGTCGGGAGGCGTCGCTGTCCTCTTCTTCGCGATGTGCTCGACGCGCGCAGCCGCGCGGGCGGGCAGCTTTCGCTTTCTCTCCATGACGGCGACGGTGGTGATGTTCGCGGTAGGCTACAAGCCGGCAGAAGAACAAGAAGAGAGGAGAAGACGACGACTGGTCTACTTGTAGAAATGACGAGAATCGCGCGCCTTTCCCAGAGCTATAAATGCATTTGAACGGATTCCACAAGCCGGACTGGCCGCTGGCTCGGCTGCAGCGTGTCGCGTGTCGTAATCGTGTCGTATCGTATCGTATCGTGTGATGCGATGTGCTTGGGAGAGTTGGTGGTGATAGGAAGCAATGGCCCGCCTGCTGGTGCTGGTGCTGGTGCTGGTGCTGGTGCTGGTGCTGGAGGATGTGTAAGAAGCGAGTTTTGTGATGGGGCCTTGGTGCTCACAGATCCAACACTGTGCTGTACTGTGCTTTCCTGTGGGTGCCGCGTTTCTGTGCCAGCACTGCTAGGTAGGTACCTTCCTTCAGCTCAGCAAGAGGCGCGGACCGTCTGGCGTCTAGCGTCTGTATACCTGTTAATTAAATTATGCTTGGGATCTAGCCATATTTAATCACTCTTACTACTTGTCGAGCTACCTAGGTAGTAGGTATGAATAGCCCACACATACATTGCCCACTCTTGATCGGTATCAAGAGATAGATGAACACTGATAGTCGATACGATCACGGGGGGCATTCAAGGTTGGAAAATTCTCCACAAATCCCCGTCTTGGAGTCTCACTCACCCAATTCTTCGAGTGTCACCTCAGGGCCTGTGGTGGACAAAAGCCAGTGGGTAGGGATAGGAAAGAGGTTAGACTGCATGACTTTGGACACTAGAAGACTTATCTAGATAGGTACCGTTTACACCTACCCAAGGTAAGGAGGCATACACCGTACCGTTTGCTTGCCACCGCTGAAAGGTAGGTAAGACAGATTGATCAAGGTGGTGCGCATCTGCATGTCGTCGTTGTGAGGTGTTAGGTGTTGCGGCTCACTGCGATCACAGCCGCGTTTCGTTATGGGCACCTGGGCACAGTCCACATGCTCAAATGTCATAACAGAGAACTTTGACTCCACCGCGGAGAAGCATATTTAATGTTAGCGGAGCATTGTACTACCTTATGTAATCTGCACTGTGCAGCTTCTAGCAGTCGCCTAATTAATTATAGGTACTAGAGCAGCGGCCGCGACCCATGAACATTCATTGCCTTTCCCATGTAGGTAAGTATTGTATTGCCAGGTAGGTACCTAGCCTAGCTAGGCACACCACCTGCAGCCAGCGTATCCGCAAGTCTACCCGACTTCGTTCAACACTCTTCTCTAGTATAAATCACTGCAACAGAACTCATCATGTGCTGCAGTCGGTGATCCCGTTAGTTAGCTTGTGTTTGCCGTTCTGACAGTAGATCCCGTCGGTCTCTCTCTCCTGCTCTCTTGGCTCGTGTTAATCCTCGGCTTAGATCTCGTTGGCTCGATAGTCTGCAAATGGCTTCCTCCAAATATGCCTACTGGGCTTTTGCTGCCGCCGGCCCGTTGGTCCTCTACTGCCTTTTCGTCGGGCTGCTCATGATTCCGTTCGTCCAAAGACAGTATGTATTCTCTGAGAAGACGGCATTCTTTACTGCAATTGCTGAAAAGTCATTGCTTAGTGCTGTGTATGCTCATCGAGTCCATACTTTGTGGTGGAGTGGCGTTGACAAACCAGAGAAATGGGGATTCGCCAGTAAGTCGACAAGCCTTGATCTCAGCTCGCCCTTTATGGCTTCTCAGATGAGAAAGAGCCCGAGCGAGCGTGGCGGAGTGAACTGTCGTTGATGTCTGCAGAGAACCAGGTGACAGCTTTCAACATCAGTACCCCGGACGGAGAGAGCATCTATGCCTGGCATGTCCTCCCGCTGCCTGTCTATGCCAAGAATGAGGACCTCCTGATCAAGCAGCCCTCTGCGCGGACCCAGGATTTCGTCAAGACAGAAGCCTTCAAGTTGCTCAAGGACGATCCCCAATCTCGGCTGATTCTGTACCGTATGCATACCCAAGATGCATAGTTGTCCTGCCTGTATACTTTCATGCTAAACAACGTGCCAGTTCATGGGAACGCAGGCCACATCACACAAGGCGTCCGGGCTGCGAGCTACCATGTTCTGACAGACACTTCCTCGTATCATATCATCGCGATCGACTATCGCGGCTTCGGCCACAGCACCGGCTCGCCAACCGAGCAGGGCCTCATTACAGATGCCTCCGCTCTTGTCGACTTCGCTATCAACGTTGCCGGAATTCCCGCGTCACGCATCGTTCTCCTAGGACAGAGTCTCGGCACCGCTATCACCTCAGGAGTCGCCGAGCGTTATGCGGCCACGGGGGTGGACTTTGCCGGCGTCGTCCTTGTGTCCGGCTTTAGTTCAATGCCCACCATGCTTGCAGGATATGCCATCGCCGGCTATGTGCCCGTCCTGAGACCACTCAAAATCATCCCACCTCTGCTGAGGTGGATATTAGGGTTCATAGTCGACAAGTGGCAATCGGTTGATCGCCTAGCGTCTTTGACTAAATCGGTCAAAGAACGACGAGGCAGGTTACGGCTGTCTCTCATCCATGGCGCGAACGATTGGGACATTCCATGCCACGAGAGCGATAGACTGTTCGCTGCGGCTGCAAACGCCACCGTCGATGGCGGTCTGGACCCGCAAGACTTGATAGAAATGAAAGATGAGCGGACCGTGTGGAAGGGCGACAAGTACTTTAAGGCGACTTGGACAGCTGAACCAGACATTGTCATCACACACGAGCAGTTTCCATACGGTGGTGAGTAGAACTCCAAGCGCACCCCCGGTCTCATGAAGAGGACTGACAAAATGAAGGGCACAACGATGTAGTCATGTACGCTCCTGTGACAATAGCTATTGAAAGATGTTTTGACTTGGCTGGCACGATATATAGTTAATGGTGATAAATACAGTGTCACTTGATTAGAATACATAGCATCTCAATACAAAGATGTTACATCTGCCCTTAGATAGACCACAAGGGTACGCGCCCGTTGCATCATCGCGCGAGTCTCCCTAAGCCCAGGCACGCTGTAACCAGTGCAAGCATTGTCCACTGCGGCTTCATTGGACGGCCATCCCGGTACGCCAGCACGGTCCCTACGCTGACGATGGCTCCCTTGATCAACAGTGTTACCTCTCGAGTTGACGGGAAGACAACCCCCAAGCCGACACCAACCCGCAAAGTAGCCCCAAGAATACCCGCCGTGCCTGAGGAGATGCGGTAGCCCGACAGCTTGGCATTCCATTCGTTCTTGCGCTGATAGTACGCCGCTGTCTCTTTCTTGGGGAATGGTATGCCGACAAAGGGCAAGGCTGTAGATATACACATGGCGCCAAAGCCGTATGCGAAGAGGTTTGCGAATAGTTGGAAGGACATGCTTGAAGCTTTCCGACTGCTGAATATTGCGGGTGATAGTGTTGGCGTGTGGATGAAAGGGCAATGTGATCCGAAAATTCTAAGCTCCGAGCCGACATTCAGAAGAAATAGATAATCGCAATGTCAGGCGAAACCGACAGCATGGGTTGTTTGTGCTACCTAGGTAGCTCCCAGACATCTCACTCTTCCTAGGTGGGGAGGCCTTGTCAGCAATGAGTCCGAAGATTACTTCGGTCCCGTATCGGCACCAGGCCGACACTACAAAAGGGTTAGAACTTGCTACGATATGACCTTAGACCTTGCCAGGGCTCATTCAAGCCACCAGTGGGATTCTGCGTCTCTTTAGCAATCACCTCGAAGACTAAGACATCACACCGCAGGGCGGTTAAAGACGGAAGAACTTGGACGCTTATGTGCCATCTGCTGTAACGTAAAGAAGCTCCGTCAACCTCTCAACGTCATCCATCAAGTTTCAACCACAATCGATGAATTAATGGAACATTTGTATCCATACCAATCCAGCATGTTTTATTACACGTAACATCATTGCAGTCCCCTTCGAGACAATACTCCACTTACTCTGGAAGGGAAGACTTCGAAAAGGTCAAGCGCACGCATGGACATATTCAACAAGTATGTCCTCCCCAACCAAGCTGTCTATTCACCTCATTCGTGGCGCTCACAGCAGCTCTGAGGAATCCCAAAGCGCCATCGACCGTTGAGCTACCAGTATTGAATGGCTGGTCCATGCTTTGTGACGATATCAGATCCTGCTGGTCCAGCGTGGCCTGACGCTTCTCCAGAACGGCTTTGGAGACGGCTCTAGCCCACATATTGTACCACTGATCCTCACTGATCGAGACGTATTCCTTGGTACCGTTCTGCCCAGGTCGCGAAAAGGGCCACTCTGCAACGGCGACCTCGAAGCGCTTTGTGCGGAAGAAGAGATATGGCCAGGTGAAGATGAACATGAGAGTAAGATAGCACAGCCAAGCAATCCAATTAGTCATCCGCCAGCGGTTTGTCTTACAGTCGTTGTAGACGTCGACCTGATCGTTTACCACCGGGAAGGTCACCTGCAGACTGCCGCGGTAGTTTGTCTGCCGAACCATAGACTCTAGTCTCTCCTTCAATTTCTCAGCGTCGAAGCCGGTGACTTTCCTCTTCAGCGAGAACACTTTCAGCCCCGCGTGCGAGGCGCAGTAGAGGTGACACCATTCGGCCAGGGTAGGCTTGTCTGTGTGTCCGACCTCGATCGCTTGCTTGTGTCCGGGGGCCCGCTTCCTCAAAACCGTGCCGCGGCGTGTCTTCTCGCCATTCTCGACGGTGCTCAGGCCCCGCCAAGAGATCCGGTTCGAGGCGTCCGAGAACAGATACGGCGTCAGCTCGACCTTGACATCAAAGTCCGTGACGCTCTTGTTCTCCTTCTTGCCATTGTTGTCTACCCGTTCACGGTGGGATCCGAAGACGCGGACATATGGGCGTGGCGGGATTGAGGCCCAATACCGTAGATGAGACTCAAGATACTTGGGGTCGGCATCCAGCTGTGGGTCGAGAAAGCATTCTAGGCCCGTGTTGGCGTCCTTATAAGTGCAGGAGATGGCGGAGGGAGGGAGGACGTTGGTCGGGGTAGAGGCAAGCAGCGGGGCGGAGCTGCTGCTGGAGTCGGCGACATCCTCGTAGAGCGGCGGCAGGTCGTCGTCTTGCAGTTCGGGGGCGTCGTGGTCCAGGTAGCTGTCGCCCGGCTGCGTATGGAGAGACACGGCATCGTCGCTGTACGGCGCCCGGTCGATTGACGGCTTTCCCATTGCTGATCGATGAGCTACCCCTTGCAAACAATCAATGCCTGCCTTGCAAGATTCGTAGTCGCGGGGAGTCTGGCACTTCACTCAAATTCAATAGGCCGACAGTCGTACGCCAAATATCGTGACGTTATTGGGATGAATGTTGTTGCGCAGAGGCGAATGCACTCAGGAGGGCTGCTAAAGCTGCTTATATCGACGGGTCTTTAGGCAGTAACGGTAGTGGCGCAGTCGCTAGCGTACGGCGCAGCAGCAAAATACCTAACCGAACATTACCTTACCCAAGAAGCCAAGCTGCGGTGCAGCCGTAGGTAAGGTCATTTTAAGCTTATACCTAACATTGCCTAGGTACTCGAAATTGTGTGATACCCACCAATACAAAGTGGAACAGCTTCCGTCTAAGGATATTGTACTCCGAGTTGCCAATGGAATGATAATAGGACACAGTAGGTAGTTGAACTAGTGGGAGGAGCCGTGGCCGTAGACAGGGCCAGGTCAGAATCTTGCTATACACTAAGGTCTACGAGTAATTCAAGGTTATAGTCAGAAAGATCTTGACTAGGAGTAGCTGGGTAGGCAGATGGATAGGTACCTAGTAGAATTAAATATCTTGGAATGTTGTTGTTGCTGTTTAGGTAGAGGTCTGCTGGAGGATGTTGATTGTGGATTGGCAGATGATGTTGCAGGTAAGGGCGAGGGCGACTTACACGATAATCACACAGGGGGGCCGGCACGACTCACAGGTGACAATACAATGGCAGGACGACCACATATCAACAAAACAAAAATCGGTTGCTTAATCTGCAAAGTATGGAAAGAAGTGAACCCTTTGAATACTGGTACTCTTTTTTCTTCTTCTTTCAGACTCAGGATAACTTGCAGAACAAACGACCTCACAAGGCCTTCCCAGCAAGTCTCAACCCCTGTGTTTTCCCAGTCCAGCATCGTGAGCTCATCGTGAGCTCATTGCTCAAACACGAACAGAGATTCTGCTCACAAAAGAGGTCACATTAATCTTCAAATACTAGCCCTTGAAGGGCAATGATAATTTGAGGCAGCTCCCGTCTGCTTCTCAGAGGACGGCAAGCCAGATATCAAGCGGCTACTGAGGATATCATCCACATCTTAGGACACCATACTCCTCCACGTCTTGTCACCACCTAGCACAATACGATCTCAACCAACCAGGACCTACTTCTCGACTACTAAATTACCTATCTGACCCTTATTTGCGAGGCGGGAAGGCGGATAGGGCTAAGGTACTTACTTGTGTTGGCTTGACCGCGGGACTCGCCAATGGGGAAGAGCAAGGGAAAGAAGAAGTCAAGCAAGGGGAGGACTGGAGCAGGCCGGCAGAGGGAGGCTGATTTGGGGATCTTCGGCCAGCAAGCTCCCCTTGAAGCTGAGAATCAAGCTCCAGCTGCATTTGTTCCGCCTCTGATCAGGCACCGCGGTCAAGCCATCTTTAAAGTCACCGGGGAATCCTACAGCGACAACGGCGACGACAGCGATTGCGACAACGGCGAGCCCTGCCCAACCTGCCGCAAGGTGAACTGCAAGTACAAGGCCGCAAGCGAGGAACACCACCGTATACTCGAACAAGTCTTACAGATCGGCAGAAGGGGGACCCAAACAGAGTCAGGATCAGGACCTAGTAGAGCAGGTGGCGGACCCCTTGTAGTTGCGGTTGAGCCAGAAGTAGCCGAGGAGCTGTTAGCTTCCAGATCTATCACTCTTACGCTCCCCTCCGCTGCCGAGATCCAGTCGAGTGCCGGGCCACCTCCCGTCAAGATTGAATACGACGGCGGAACCGTTGACGGTACGGAGGGATACATCCACAGCAATAGCGATAGCAACATCAACGGTAATCAGAAAGGAGGCTCCTCGGCTCAGCACTCATTCGGAGACGGCGTCGGTCCGTCTAGACAAGGAAGTACCCCGCCACCGCCGACCCCACTACATCTGGTAAGACAGCTGTCCCCCACCCCAGCAGCACCAGCAGCAGCAAAGCAGAAGCAGAAGCAGAGACAAGCCCTGCACGAGCGCCTCCTGCCATCGCTCCACCGAGATCCAGTCTCTGCTCAGGACATCTTTGACCGCGCCGTCTACAACTTCACAGACCACTTCCAGCTCGACGACGATACCTGGACCGCCGACCTCTTTACGGCTCTGGTCGATCACTGTGTGCGCCTCGACTCGGCAACCCCGCCGTCGCACCCCTCACCGTCACCATCATCCTCTGACGACGAAAACGAAAACGACGAGCGCGACCCCTCGACAGATCAGTAGCTTGGAGCTCCTACTTGCACGACCACTTCCTCCTTCTCCTCCTCACCATGCCGCAGGACGAATCCAAGCTCGCCGATCCCGTTAAGGAGGAGGCTGAGAAGCAGCTCGCTGCCGACAAGGCCAAGCAGCCCGCCGTCGAGTCCGAATCCGAGGACGATGACGTTGCTGACGCCGATGGAGATCACGAAGCTGACGCTGCGCAGGGCGCCGAGAGCTCTGCAGCAGGCGCCGCCAAGAAGAAGAAGAAGAAGTCCAAGCGAAAGAAGCTCAAGGATGCCCTCACCGGCAAATCCTCCGACCCCGATGCCGACAAGAAGGAAGCCATAGACAAGCTCACCCCTAAACAAATACAAGACTTTATGGCCTTCAATCCAGCCCTGGCGCAGGAGGTCAATGCCCTCGCCGGCGGAAGCAGCTCCGGCAGCGTCGATCCTGCTCGCGCCGCCGAGCTGCTCAAAAAGCTCAAGCTCGAGGACGTCATGACCGGCCTGGCCTCGACGGGCAAGAACGTCAAGGACATGGCCTCCTACAAGTTTTGGCAGACGCAGCCCGTGCCCCGATTCGACGACGCCGGCTCCTCCAAACCCATCGAGGAGGGCCCCATCAGAGTTCAGAGTCTCGACGAGGTCCCCAAGGAGCCCGCTCCGCTAGGGATCGAGGGCTTCGAATGGGCCACAGTCGATATAGAGGATCCAGCGCAGATCAAGGAAGTCTACGAGCTGCTCAATGGACACTTTGTCGAGGATAATGAGGCCATGTTCCGCTTCAACTATGGGACCTCCACCCTCAAGTGGTAAGTTAATTGCCGTGATGAGTTACGAAATGCCATGAGAACTAATCAGAATTCTTCTTCGACACAGGGCCATGATGCCGCCGGGCTGGAAGAAGGAGTGGCATGTCGGAATTCGAACGACGTCCTCAAAGAGGCTGGTCGCCTTCATCTCGGCCATCCCGGTAGAATTGCGGCTTCGAGACAAGGTCCTACACTCGTCAGAGGTCAATTTCATGGTCGTCCACAAGAAGCTACGGTCGAAGCGTTTGGCCCCGGTCCTAATCAAGGAGATCACCAGGCTGTGCAACCAGCAAGGCGTCTGGCAGGCCATATACACGGCGGGCGTCGTGCTGCCAAAGCCGGTGAGCACGTGTCGCTACTATCACCGAGCCCTGAACTGGCAAAAGCTGTACGAGGTTGGATTCAGCCCCCTGCCTCCTAACAGCAAGCCCCAGTATCAGATCCGCAAGTATCACCTACCCGAACAGACCTCAATCAAGGGTCTCAGAGAGATGAAATCTGAAGATGTGCCAGCCGTGCTCACTCTGCTCAAGCGGTATCTCAGACGCTATGAGATGACTCCTGAGTGGAACGAGGAAGAAGCGGAGCATTGGCTGCTACCCAAGGTGGAGCAGGGTGACGAGCAGTTTGTCTGGTCGTTTGTGGTTGAGGTACGTAATATATTGAGTCGGGTATACCTCTGCAGAAGTCTGACTCTTGACAGGATGAAAACAAGAAAATCACCGACTTCGTCTCCTTCTACTCGTTGGAGTCGACCGTCATCAACAACCCGCGGCACTCCGTCATCCGTGCTGCCTACCTCTATTACTATGCCACAGAGGTTGGACTGACTGAGCCAGTTGATAAAAAGGCCCTGAAGACTCGGCTAAACGAGCTTGTTCATGATCAACTAATCTTGGCAAAACGACACAGGTTTGATGTCTTCAACGCCCTCTCCCTCATGGACAATGGTCTCTTCCTCGAAGAGCAGAAGTTTGGTGGAGGAGACGGCCAGCTGCATTACTACCTCTTCAACTACCGCGCAAATCCTGTTGCTGGTGGCATCAACAGGAGAAACCAGCTAGATGAGGACGGCTTAAGCGGCATCGGTTTCGTAATGTTGTAAGGTTCATTATGCGCATCCATAGCCTCCTCAAGTTTCACTTCGTTGCCATGCCAAAGTCCCGAGAGGGGTCACCAAGGAAATTAGTTAAGTGTGTGCATGGCATATGGATGTTCAACATCAACGGAGGTGATGGCTTTCCTGACGTGAACCAAATGCGACTCATCTCATGCTTGTAGTCTATGTCTAAGTAGCGTCAGGCAGTATACAGGACAAAATCAACGCTAAATGCATGCCCCAAACTCATGTTTCGTGAACACCTTCTTGTCTAAAATGCCCGCCGGTACAATAACAGCCAAAGACGCAGACACCGCCACCATCTCATGCCCTACCATCCAGTTTCTCGCCCTTTTCGAATTGCTCTGTCAGTAAGGCATTGAACCAATCGGTATCCTCCAGGACTGGCGCATGGCCGAGGTTCTCCCTAATGATCCCTACGCCCGGGTTGATATACTCGATCAGCTTCCGACCATGGGGCGTAGATATCATGCCGTCCTCGACGCCGTGTAAGACGAGTATGCGTTCGCGTCCAACCTTGTCGGCCATCTCGGCCAGTTGTGTCGCTGTTTTGTGGTGCCAGCCTGCGGCGATCAACTGCAGCATGAAGCCTTTGGTGCCGAAGCGCTTGGGATCAAGCCGCTTATGCATCTCCTGTGCCACGAAGCGCTCATAGTTAGTTCCGAACCGCAGGTACTCGCCACCACCTGGGGGCGGATTGACCTTGGTCGTCGCTGCTGGGTCGGGCAGGTGTGCATTGTCTTGGCCCGCGAGATACTTGAGTGTGAAGATCTGTCGCGCAGTGGACCGCACAGAATTCTCCAGTGACTTTGGCACCAACATTGAAGCGCGGTTGATCATGTTTTCCCAGAAGGTAGTGGTGTTCTCGATGGCAGCGGCCGTGCAGCAGAGGTTTAGGCTGCTGACGTACTCAGGGATGAGACAAGCTATCTCTTGAAGTATCATTCCTCCCATGGAAAGACCGACAAAATGCAGAGTACGGGCTGGTGGGGAGATAGGTCTATCGAGCCAGCCCACGTGCTCGAGAATCTCGAGCACATCTTTTGCCATCTCAGAGGTGGAATATCTCATGAGGGGCTTATCACTGTCACCCATGCCGCGATTGTCGAGACATAGCACCGAGTATTGGCTGCTGTGTTCGTGACCGAAATGCAATGTTTGCCGTTGCCAAGCGGACTTGAGACTTCCGAGGCCCATAACGAACTATAAGGTGATTCGTGTTAGCCGTTGAATCTCACCCAAGAGTGGAGGGGGAGCGTTGCCCACCACGACACGGACAGGGCCGTCTCCGTGAATCTCCCAGCTCACCCTGAATGGCCCGCCGCGACCCTCGGCGACCGGCAGGAGGCCGCTCCGGGTCGGCTCGAGACCCCATATGGCGGTTGAGAAGGCCGGGTGCTTGAGCACGTCGGCGACGAGGGGAAACCCGTCCCTGCAGCACAGTCAGCATGGTGTGCATCATAAGGCATGGGTCACTGGTGCAGCCAACACCAGCAGCGATGGGTGCTGTAGCAGGGGACCTCCTACATGACCGTTTTGTATCTCTCGATGCGAAGTGGCCGTTTCACGCCAGCATCAACGAGAATTGAATGAAACTCTGGAAGGAGAGTAACTCCGGGGCAACAATGTACAGTGTACAGTACGGTACGGTACGGTATTCTTGGAGACAGTCACTCAAGTCTTTGAGACGAGGGAGTGAGAGACGGTCAACTATAAGCCCTGTTTCCTTTCAAGAACTCTGAGCCGTTATGGTCTATTTATGCAGAAGCCGACCGCTATTCGATACTCTTCACAATTGTCAAGGTACCTCTTCCATGTGTTTGTGGTCGGGTTCGTCACATTCACGAGCTTGATCAAGGAGGCGGCTGGTGTAGTTGTCATTGAGCGAGGCCAAGGGCATTGGCCTAACAATTAATTGCCCACCAGGTAGACCAGACCAGACCAAACCAGGAGCCTGTGCTAACAAGCCTAAACGTCAGTCAGTAGGTAGGTGAGCATGTGCCTCGGCATGTCACATGGTGGCGGGGCTGGCAAAGGAAGGCCTGAGCTGCTGATTATGTAGATAGTAGGGAGCTTATTTGGCATTGAGGCATCGGTCAATGGCTCCGCGGGTTGAACTAGTCTAGGTATGTGAGGATGAAGAGCATTCAGTCAACACCTGGTGGTCTACAAGAATAAACACTCATCTCTAAGACCGAGTCTCGTCTACTGTTCGCTGGCGAATGGATTTGGCCAGTCTGGTTCGCCCTCATTTTACCACGCCTCTCGGCAGCCGGTTAGGTAATGCAGAGAGTCGATGTCACTTTGTGTATGTGCTTCTGTAACATCCACCACGGCATATGACCTCCGCCATGAGCATGCTACAGTCATGGTAGTTTCAATCAGATATTCAACAGGAAGCAGCTACAATTCCCGCAGCAAGAAGATACCTGACGAGGAGGGCAAAATCTTGCGCTCCTACCACGGGTGTGTCTCTTGGTTGGCGGGCTAGCTATCATGATGCCTCCGATTACACTGCAGCATATCGGCCGTCCAATTACGCAGATGCTGCCTGCTTTCTGTCTCGTGGTGGTGATAACGATGATCATTTCCGCAGTGTACAGACCTCAGGATGCTCAAGTGCAGATGGGGTTTCCAGCAAACTGACGCGTCTGCCAGCTCGGTTTAGAGCCAACGCAGCCATTCCCAGCTCGCGAAGGGCCGACTTTCAGTCAATCAAGCCAACAAATGTCTACAACAACTAGACAATCACCAACAAAGAGTCCGCGTTGGGAATTTCCTAGTCATTCTGATAAAAGGTAACTCAATGCGAGTTTCGGGCTGCAGGGCCACCTGGAAGCGGTGATTTACCGACAGCTGTCAAACCCCACTGGTCTCAGGCACCGGATGTCCGAAAGGTCACTTCGGTACGCCAATTAACAACCGCCTGGTAAATGATGGTTCTAATTAAGCTCTCTGTGCTTGGCTCTCATTGCTCAACAAAGTTACTGCCGTCACTTAGAGAATCATCGACGACAACGGCAGCGAATGCTTGTCTCGAATGCTGGCATGCAACCAAGTGATGCAATCCAGTCACGGCAGTTGCCCCTTTCTTGTCTGGGCAAGATCCCGGTTTTCGTGCATGACGAGGACTGTCGTTGCAGCACTCAAGGGAAGAAAAGGGCAGAGATCATCGTCCAAATCAAAACCCGACCGACAACTCGTCGGCCCCTCTTGGGCATGACAATAGCTATTGCCGTTGGCCGGAGACTCGATATTCACCCGGACGGGGAGAATGGGGGCGGCAGGTACCTACCACAGAGCTTCTATATTGTTCATGCCCGAAGTCAAAGCCGTCTCCCATCAACGTGTCTGGGATGCATATCTATATCTCTTGAACCGCCCGCGTCTAGCACATCTAGGTTGTCGTGGACACTTCTGAATGAACATAATTTATCTGATATTATCAGATCCAGCATCTTTTCCTTGCTCCCCAGATTCGATTCGTAAAGAAAATGGCCCGATTAGAGACAATCGATCTGATTCCTGGGACCGAGGTGGTTTTCAGGGGGCATCACCATGATTCTAGTAGCACTCCCGAGGAACTTGTTCTTATACCCAGACCTACAAACCATAGCAGTGACCCATTGGTGAGCCAGCAGAAGTATGCAAGCTGCGAAAAGAGACTGCCTGCTAATAGCTTTCTCCAGAACTGGAGTACAACATGGAAAACCATCGTGATCGTCAATCAGTTCATCTTCGTTTTTGTTAGCATTCTCACTCCACTATCGATCGCACCTCTCACAGAGATCTTCATTCACGAGTTCAACAAAACCCTCCCGCAGGTTAACATGTTGGTAAAGCGCCCACCTGGCCTGTTGGAACACACTTGGATTTAGTTGACATGAGCAAAGTTTGGAGCAGCCGCAATTACTCTGGGATATGCAAACTTCCTAATTGTCCCGGCCGCAAACGCTTTTGGTCGACGCCCGATCATTATCGTCTGTGGTCTCATATGTGTACTCGCCAATATCTGGCAGGCGCTTGTGACAAGCTATCCCAGCTTCATCGGTGCCCGTGTAATCTCTGGTCTCGGCGCCGCTGCTAACGAATCCATCATGCCCATGGTAGTAGCGGACGTACTCTTTCTGCATCAACGGGGCCGTTCCATGGCATTGTATTTTTGGGCCTACTTCCTTGGCCTTTTCATCGGGCCCATCATCTCTGGCAGTATAGCATCAAGCATTGATTGGCGTTGGTTTTTCTGGGTTTGCACGATCCTCCAGGCGGCCAGCCTCCTGCTCATTATTATTGGCCATCCCGAGACCAAGTACGACCGTCCTGTTTCCTCGTCAGCCTCGTCTGAGACAATCAATACCACAGAAGGCAAAGCGGCAGAAACACAGGTCTCCGACGTCTCATCGCAAGAGTCGCCTACCCGCCAGGTGACGATACAAGACGCTCGTCCGGTGGGACGGCCATCCAAATCTCAATTCTCCCTCGTTCCTCAGCTACGTTTTGCACATGGGGCAGGTTCTATTGTCCGGGACATCATCTCGCCTCTCCAGATCTTTGCCTATCCAATTGTCCTCTGGGCAGCGCTTGCCATGGGCTTCGCTTCAAACAGCCTCCTAGCATGCAATCTTACTCAGGCCCAAGTTTTTGGCGCGCCGCCCTACCTCTTTAACCCTGCGCAGATTGGCTATGTCAATTTCGCCTTTGCGGTTGGCGCCATCATTGCGCTGTTGACGGCCGGCCCATTCAGCGATTGGATTGCTCTGCGCCGCGCCAGAAGGAATGGAGGCGTCCTAGAGGCTGAGATGCGCTTGCCGGCCCTGATCCCATATGTGTGTATCTCTTTGATGGGGATGGTCATCACAGCGGTTGGCTATCAGCGGTCCTGGCCATGGGAGGCAATGTGATTGTCGGCTATGGCTCGGTGGGTGTTCAGGTCGTAGGAATCCCGGCGATTGTGATCAGTTATGCCGTCGACAGCTACAAGTCACTCCCAGGCGAAATCATGATTGCAGCAACGATCGTGAAAAACACTTTTGGTGTAAGTGCCATCCTGTTTTCTTTCTGGCCATCACAATCAAGACTGACTGCGGGATATCACAGTTCGGTATGGTTTTCTTCTATAACGACTGGGCTGCCAAGCAGGGGTTCGTCGCGCCTGTTTTGACGTTGATGGCGTTGACCGTGGGATTTACGGTACTGGGCCTCGTAGTCTTCATCCCATTTGGGAAGAATTTCCGTCGTCTAACTAAGGACTCGAAACTGCACATGCTATAGAACAGCTACTATGACCATATATATCAATCCAACAGCAGCAGTGCGATGCGAGGATACGAGGCAGGGACTTGTTATGCCAAGTCATCTTGTCGAAAACTAAGGTAGGTCGAGTTTCTACATGTAGCCATGGGTTACGAAGACTTTGGTTGGGGTTTGATGGTGGCATCAGTGAGAGCACGATTCAAGTCTCCGTCTTTGAGGGATGGCGAATCGACGCCGAGTTGCAATACGGGCATGATGCTTGAATTAATAATTGTGTGGTATGGCAAAGGTAACATTTCAATTGTTTTGCAGAGTCAGAATCATATCTTTCCCAGCAGTCCCAAGCGGCTGAAGTACAGTACATATACCGAAGGGCGGGCTATCGGCACTCCGCCAATCGCCTAGAGTTGCTCTGGTAGATAGCTTACTTATTGCCGGGAGCTTGGTATGGTCGCTCGGTGTTTCCCATTCTGTCAATTGTCCAAGCTATGGATGGGGAGCTCAGAGAAGGTATTCCTTACTTCAAAAGAATGTCCGAGCCCAAATAGATTTCTTTGGTGTTTTCAGCTCAATGGCACAAAGACTCCAGGCTTCTCTCTTGAGGGTCAGTGAATATCGTTATCTCAAAGAAATATCATGTAATCGTCCCTGGGAGTTCGATATTTGAATGAGCTTGGATTGAGACAATCCATGGCATCACGGCGGGGTTGGATGGCACCTATCTAGGGGACCTTCTCGTTCAGGCTAAGATGCTAACCAGGTACCTATCGCACAGGGGACAAGGGGTGCTCATTGAGGTTACTGCGTATGTAATTAACGTACTATTATAGACAGGGAGGTTGCCGATGAATGACGCTCAGAGCTCCATCCCTCTCCCTCTTATCAGAGCTCCCATATTTCACCTTATTCCCCTCCTCATCATCTGAAAAGATTCAGCAGCCGGACTGGCATTGAAGTCTTTGCAGCTTCCTGTCACAATCACGGTAGCTCGACTCACGCAGTGCGCTTGTAACTCCGGAGAGAAGAGTCGGGTTGAGAACACCAACGGAGCTACAGAAAGCTAGCTCCGAAGCACAGCATGGGCTTCGACAAGACCGGGCTGCCGCCTTACAGTGCGGTTGTCGATCAACCCCCACCACCAGCCCCGTGGGCCAGGCGGCATATTCGCAGGTCGAGGGCTGTCAGGATCGTGATACTAGCATGTGTGGCCTTCATTGTATATGCGCAATGGACGCAGATCCCCTCCGCTGCCCGCCGTGCGGCCAATGCCAACAACCTGTCCATAGAGAAGTTACAGGATGATATGGCTACCTGCTCCAAGCTGCATAGGAAGCCTCAGGATCCAATTGGCCTCGGACGGGAGCGCAATGCCCGCTATATCGATGGCCACAAGCCTACCCTCATCCGCAATGCCACCGTCTGGGTTGGCGAGCCAGCGGCAGGCACCGCTGCTGTGGACGCTCGAGCAGGCAAGGGATTCTCGTGGATCACAGCCGACGTGCTGCTAGAGTATGGTCTCATACAGAAGGTTGAAAAGGACATTTCCTTGAAGACCATCCCCAAGGACACCTTAATATGGAATGCACAGGGTCGCCAGTTGACTACCGGCGTCATCGACATGCACAGTCACGCGGGCGTTGACTCGCTACCTGATTTGGTCGGCAACTCCGACACCAACGAGCTTTCAGCGGACATCACGCCGTACGTCCGGTCGATAGACGGTATTCAGCCTTTCGACCAGCAGATTCAGGTCATCAAGTCCGGAGGCGTCACCACCAGCTTGGTGCTGCCAGGGTCGGGTAACAACATCGGAGGCGAGGCATACGTCATCAAACATGCTGTTGGCAAGCCGGACGGCCGCTCTGAAGTGAGTGCTGAGGATATGTTGGCCGATCCTGACCGCAATTGGCGATATATGAAGATGGCTTGTGGTGAAAATGCCAAACGAGTTTACGGCAAGGTTGGCGAGCATGGTCCTTTTAGCCGACTCGGCGAGTCTTACGAGTTCCGACACGCCTTTGAGCAGGCTGCCAACCTCATCCGTGTACAGGACGACTGGTGTAATGTGGCAGCTACCATCGGAGTCGAGAACATGCAGACATATCTGCCCCAGGAGATCAAGTGGGAGGCCCTAGGCGCCGCACTGAGAGGACAGGTCCATATCAACACCCACTGCTATACGGTCCCAGACCTAGAGGCCTTTGTTGATCATACCAATGAATTCAAGTTCCCCATACGGGCTTTTCATCATGCCCACCAGACGTACCTTGTTCCCGAAATTCTGAAACGAGCATGGGGAGGCGTAGCACCTGCATCTGCGATATTTGCGACAAACATGTATTACAAGGCAGAGTCTTACATTGGCTCTGAATACGCAGGTAAAACCCTGTGGGAAGCTGGTTTGCTCCCAGTCTATGTGAGCGACAACCCTGTACTAAATGCGCAACATGTCATCTTCGAAGCAGCAAAGGGTTACAAATTTGGTCTTCCTTACCACGCTGCACTCGCCAGCGTGACTAGCTTCCCCGCCGAGCTTCTCGGCCTAGGGCAGCGGCTCGGTAAGATCAAGCCGGGCTACGATGCTGATATTGTTGTCTGGGATAGCGATCCGCTCAGCGTTGGTGCTACCCCAGTTCAAGTCTGGATAGACGGTACCGCTCAATACGAAGACCCAATTGAACTTGAGAAGCCCCTGACATCACCGATCACTCCGAATCTCAACCTGAATTCTACAAACGATGAGCCTCACAGCTGCACAGATGCTATCTTCACGGGAATCACCAGGATTCTGCTCTCTGATAGGGATGAAGCCGTGGAGGCAGACGGGTCTAGATTCAATGTTGCCGTGAAAAAAGGCAAGATCACCTGCATCGGTAGTTGTGCTAATGAAATATCGGTGGCCCAGCGTTCGAATATCCAGACGATCCAGCTGGACAACGGCTACATTACAGAGTCATTCACTGCGTTCGGCTCCACGCTCGGGCTGAATGAGATAGATGCAGAGACAATTACAGACAACGGTCCGAACACGAATGTCTTCAGCCGGGCCTTGGAGGGTCTGGCTCTGGATACGAAGAAACTTAAGGTCGCCAATGCCTTCGGGATCACGAAGGCCATTTCAGCTCCCAAGTTCACCGGAGGAGGCACCCATCATGGTACAAGTGTTGGCTTCCTCACCGGCGCCATCAACGTTCTTGACGACGGCGCTGTCTTTGCCAATGATGTCGCTGTACACTACACCCTGACACCTAGCGCCAAGCGAGAAGGAACCCCATCGTTGTCCAGCGTAGTTGGGTCACTGCGACACAAACTGCTCGAGGCTGTCACATCCAACGAGACCATCAGTGACCCGTACTCCGAGAAAGCTTATCTAAGGAGGGTTGTCGATGGAGAAATCCCTCTAGCGTTGACCATCCACAGTGCCGACATGATCGCTGCCGTCCTAAAGGTGAAGGAGCTAGTTGAGAGCGAAGCCAGCACTCGCAGCTTCGGTCCAAAGATTCGCCTGATCATCATTGGAGGCGCCGAGTCCTACGGCGTGGCCAAGGAGCTTGCAGCCGCCGAGGTTGGTGTTGTTCTCGCGCCGTTCCAAAGCTATGCTACGAGCTGGGATCAACGGCGAGCTCTTTCTGGTGCACCACTAACCAACGGAACTGCAATTGATTTGCTACTTGATGCAGGCGTTGTCACCGCGATTGGGCTCGAGGAAGATTGGATCATTCGAGATCTGGCGCTCCTGGCGGGCAAGGCGTACAAGAATGGTGGCGGTCGTTTGAGCGAAAAGGGAGCACTCGCCTTGATTTCGTCGAACATCTACAAGATGCTTGGCGTATCTGAGCCCAAGGCCTTAGACGGAACCGGACACTTTGTCGTTTTTGAGGGCAGTCCATTCGATATTGATTCTCGAATTAAGGCCGTGGGTGGTGATGGTGCGCGGATCTCCGTTTTCTAACACTCATTCTGTAGCATGTGAAAGAGGCTTTAGTGAAATACATAGTCCAGCATGCTGTTCACGAAGAATATTATAACAATGAAGGTTTTTGTCTACCCTGCGTCTTACAGACAATAAAGTTGCCAATAGGTCGGCAGATAGCCGGCGCGCGGGCAGTGGGCACAGTAAGAGCGACCCTTGCCGGTGTGACTCGGAGGATGGAAAATGTCCGGTAACCGAGTTTCCGAGTGGTTGGTCCGCTAATTTCTTCGGTCCCGAAGCATAACGATCGACCTAATCACACGATGTAAGTCCTATCAGAGCTTGTCTAATGCACAGTACACGTCCGAATTGCTCTCGATTTGGTTGATCGAATGACAGCGGGGATAGTCGGTCTCGATCGGCCACAACCAAGAGCGAGACCGACTTCTATCTCCCCTGCGCCCCTATATGCTCACCAATATAAGCCGTGGCAACTCCATGTTCTCCATAGCCAACTGATAGATAAATACAATTATCATACCCACAATCAAAGACTCGATAAACCAGCAAGCCAGCCAATAACCATATTATATGCACATAGTACAATCTACGGTGACAGCATAGACCGATGCCTCCTCCATGGCTACACAGCAGCCCGTCCCCAGCCGGTGCCTGTTCGGGTCCCGGGCCATTGGTGCTTCTGCCCGTCGTCATTTACCTTGTCAGATCAAACGGAGATCTCGGCATGGCAACCTCACTTCGATCAATCAGCACTAACAGCCCAAAATCCATAGCCGACAACGCTCACAAAGTCATTCAAGGCATGCTTGCCAAGTTGCCAGCCGACATGCTCTACTGGTTCTGTTCCAAGGTTTTGAACCTCTCCCCAGATGTCTCAAGAAATACTATCAACTTCTTAAAGTCCCAGCCAGCAACGGATGGATGGAGAAGCGCATCCGGACTTTCCGAGCGTGGCATGGAGACCAGTACCGACTTGACTGGTTCTATGACGGAGCAGAAAGAACTCGAGCAGCGGCTCGAACGCTTAGAGGCGACGATCAAATTACTTGAGACATCAGACAACGAGCCTAGGCTTCTTGAATATCGCGATGAAAGCGCAAGAAGCTTGCAACAGTCGGTTGTCTCTAGTGCCGGTGCTCACAGCCAGAGCAGTGGCGATATAACCAAAGCACTGTCGATCATATATGAACGACCCAGAGACGATGAAACGGATCAGCCAACGGCGCTGACCAGCGACCGGTACTCAGTTACACCTAACTCGACTTCAATAGCCCAAGAACTAGGTCTCCGTAGGTCACATCCATTCCTACCATCATGACCAAATGATTGGACTGACTCGTATCATAGGGCTTGGTCATATCCTATTGGACTGGGCTGGAGAGAGGCTGAAGCAGAGCTTCCGGCCTGCGATATCCTAATGATCTGGTCCTGATGAGTGGAGAAAGCAAGAACGAGAGCAGCAACAGTCCATGAAACCGTACAGCCACCTAGAACTGGACGGTCAGCAAAGTGCCTGTCTCAGACGATGAACACGGCAAGGGTGAGACTAGAGCGACGGACCAAACCAAACAACGTGTGCCTAAACGTCATGAATCCGAGAACGCTTGGGTGGGTTTGCCATGTAGGCAATACTAAGGTCATGCAGGTTATGCGATGCTTTATTCGAATCGAGACAGGACAATGCTTCTCATCCACACGTTGACTTAAGAGTGCTGCGTAGATGGAGTCTCTGCCCAAATTTTCGACATGGGCGCTGTTATGCGGACGTCTCCGCTACCTTATGGCTGGTCAGTAGAGTTGGAGTAATAGGCGCCTGGCATCTGTGTCGTTTCTGGACAAAATGTTACAGGTTGTAACGAAACCACAAATTGTGACACACCTGACGATACGAATAATTGAGCTGGAGGTATGGAGCATCAACAGCATGCTGTTTAAAATATAGTTTAAAAAAAATCCCGAAAGGGGAAACCATAGCCATGTCGCAAACTCAGAGAACCTCAAGATGTTGTGCTTGTTTGGATTGTGATATTAATTTCCGTGGTTTTTTTCTCGGAGCTATATGCCAGCTATCTAGCCATGCGCCGCCTCTCGTGGTATCCTACCATCAGGATAGAGGTCCTCATGCTCAGACATTCCCGTTCTGAGCGGTCTCGTGTAACGGTCCGGCTAGCACACCCCAGACGACCTCACTTCCTGGAAATGACCATTTTGGTGCATTACTTATTGGTCATCACGTCTCTCCAGCCCATTTTAGATGGCTAGCAGACCCAAAACAGACGCCAAAGGCGATCGAACGCCACATATGGAAGCCAGAACCAGAACGCCGAGAGTCCATGCGATTGGAAGATAAACTCCTCTTACCCCTGTGACCTTTTAATCCCAGAATTTGATATCGCCATCCATACCAGCGGTAACGACCTTGCTTGTCTCTTGCGGGCTCCACTGGACACAAGTGACGGCTTGATCGCTCGCACGTATCTTGTGATACATCTTGCAGGTCTTCCAGTCCCAGAAGCACACATAACCACCTGAATCTCCCGACGCCAGGAACTGTCCATCCGGACTGATGTCGATGTCAATAGCAGTGCCAGCATTGTTGTGACCGCGGTAGCTCTTTTTCCGATTTTGCCGGAACTTGTCATTGCTGTTATAAACGACTATCTCGTTATTCGAGCTCTGATACGCCACATACTTGCCGCTGGGGTGCGCCGCTGCCCTGGTAAGAGGGAACATGTCGATCTCGGCTATATATTTAATGGGCACTGGGATGTTGTAATCCCAGGCACGAACGGATTTGTCGTCCGACGTCGTCATGAAGCGGCGATTCTCGTCGACGAACGTTATCGTGTTGATAGCGGCCAGATGATGGTCGTATTCTTGCACCGGATCATTGCCAGCTCGAATATCAAACTGGACGATCTTCTTATCTGACATACCAGCAAGGAACTCGTTGCTATGCTCGACAGACGGGTTAAACTGGAGGCAATGGGGGGTCTTGCCGGTGGTGAACTTGCTGATACAAACGCCGGTCTCTGTGTCCCAAAGCTTCATCATGCGGTCATAGGAGCCAGACAAGAACTTGGTACCACCAAGATTGTATGTGAGGTCGGATATGGCCTTGTTGTGACCAGAGTACGTCCGCAGCAGCTCTCTCTGGTGGTATACATCCCATATCTTGATAGTCGTATCTGCGGAGCCGGAGAGCAGCAAGTGCCCAGCTCCTGGAAAGAAACGTAAAGACGTGACTGCCTTGGTGTGATTCCTCCAGGTATGAACCAGTTTCTTCGGGATGAAATTTGTGACGCTGCCGACATCTTTGTGCAGATCGATATCCAGATCTTGTGGCACGTGCATGTATGTCCTGCCCTGGTAATCAAACTCCTCTGAACCGTGGAAGGTTGTCGTCTCCCCTCCCATCTCCTCGACCTGTTTCCTCCTCGCTAGAGCTTCGGCTGGGGCGCTGACGACTGTTCCACTTTCGACCACATCGTCCTCATCTTCTTCCTCAACAATCTCATATTCCTCATCGCTATCAAGCTCTGCCTCGTCTTCTACCTCTACCTCCTCGTAGGCAGGCCTCTTGTACTTGGCCCAGGGGCCGACATATGCACCGTCTCCGTCAGCGATAGTCGCATTTCCCTTGCCCTCTCGCCTGGCTCGCGTCGCTGCCGCCTCGGCCTTGGCTTGTGCTCCAGATATGAACTCACGCTCGGGGCCACCTGCGCGCTCGACAGCGCGGTGTTTACTGCGGAAGGTGTGCTCGCTGATGAAGGTCTCCTCGGCGAAGCCTGTAAGCACGTTTTTGCGCTTCAAAGCGGTCGCATTCTGCGACGAGTCGTCACGAAAAGGATTCGCGGGGCCCAATCTCTGACGGGCGAGGTCCTCGCCAGTGTAGGGCACGACAGCATGGTCGGGCAATGCTTCTTGTCGCACGATGAGGGCGTCTTGCGGTGCCATGTTAGGCGGGTAGTCGCCGAAGTCTGTCATGTTCGCAACGTTGAAGCGGCGGCGCAAGACCGTGGTCGAAAAGCGCGCCTGAAAAGCCCCGATGAAAGTAATTCGATGTCGTACTGTGAAATGGCAAAGATGTGTGTGCCCCTGCGAGCCAACCTTGCTCTCATGAGTAAGTTTTACAATTACAAGCCTTATTCTACTTAGCTTTCCTGCCGGACGTGCAGCGTCGGCAGGCAAATCGAAGGTCACGTGCAGCATAGCTATGGACAGCAGGAACCGGGAAGCCGCACACGCAAAGAGGGTATCACTTCTGGTACTTCTAGATGAAAATAGGTACAATACTTGGGGGGAAAAGGGCCATAATTCACTTAAGCTGGTCTCCAGGATGGAAATGGCAGGGAACTAGCAAAGAATTCGGTACCAGTCTATCATGGTGACTGGCAATGAACTTCACACCAAGAACACAGAGCATTGGCACTTGCTCTTTAAGAATTACTCAATTATCACAGCCTGAAAGATGGTCTGCTCCGCGCAGCCCATCTTCAGAGACACCGTCTGTACAGAACCCGGCACCCGGAAAAAAAAACTCTTTGACCATCACCGTGACCCATTCCATGGTGATTTCTCTCGCCGAAACGTCCCCGACATGCCGCTCATCATTTCATATACTAAACAAATCATGGCGAGGCCGTGGCCTTCGTATCCCATCCTCTGCATGGTGAGATTTGGCAAGGAAGCCTCTTTCTTTCCCATTCCCCATCCTCGTCGCAATATCAAATATGCCCTCTACTGATTGCTTGGCTAGTCTATCTGTCTCTTTCATTGTGCAACATCGCCCGGGTTGAAGGTCACAAATGGATCTCCTTCCCAGTGTTTGATCAGTTCGCTTCGAAACTGAAGACAATGGCGAATGACCCAGGAGGAGTGTCCCAAGAGCCACGATGCTCCACGTGGAAACACGGGCTGACATGAGACATCTGCTCGCTGGCAAGACTTAGTGAGCCTCGTCCTTGATCAGGGCGACGATCATGCTGTAGAGATAGAAGAAGAACATGACGAGATGGAAGCCGAGCTTGGTGAATGATTCCTAAAGTGAAGACATAATGAGCTTGAGTCGCAGGAGGAAGGGGGTAGCAGGGGATAATTGGACTGGTCGCGGGCGCACCTTCTTGTGGACATTCAGCTTTCGGAAGATCTCGGTCGCATCTAGGAGGTGGGTATTGTCGACAATTCTGGCGCGCAATGGTTAATCACTATTGAGCCAAATTTCTGGGGAGGGTCTCTTATTCATACTTCTTGATGTTCCAGCCCAGGAGAGGAAGGTTGAGAATCAGAGGCAGCCAGTAACCGTTGATCAAGAACATAAATGTGAGGAAGCCATGTACCGCAGCCTCGGGGATGATGTAGGTGTTCAGACGGTTGCAGAGATCAATAGGGTTGATGTAATCACTGAACGACGAGGAATTAGCTCCGCTAGCATGGGGTTTGTCTAGGAAAGTATATACGAGGACCGAGTGTGTGTATCATCTGGGTGAGAAGGGGTATGACGTAGATGAAGCCTTCTGAAAGACAGTCCAGGGTGCCAAGCAGCGAAATGAGAAGTTGTTTTCTGGTCCCGGAAGGCAAGAGAAAAGTGAAGAGGTGCGTTTTGAAGAGAGAGATTTTCACATACCATTCCAAGTCGCTGTACATAATGGTGAAGAAGACCTGCAGGAAGAGGTTGACGGCATTTATCAACACCGCGAAAAGGTAGAGCCACGCTTCACCTGACATCTTGACGATTGCAAATAATCGGCCACAAATAATTTTTCCTCGAGAGTGTTTATCGGTATACCAAGGCAAGGTAGAGGAAGAAGAGCTCTTCAAGCAGAGCTGTTGAACACTGTGGGCGCGTGTGTGCGTGCGTGCGTGCGCGAATAGACTCGAGCCGACGAAGTTGCACGAGCACTGATATCAAGGACTCCTAATCTAGGATGGAGTACAGCCAGGCAGAGAGACGACTTGGTATACCCGGAGGTCGTCGGTCGATCGGGTCGGCAAGGACGGCTTGAGGTAGGGCGAGGTGAGGTGAATGTAGGTACTGGCAGGCACAGGCAACCAGACGCGCGGAGCTCTGCTGTGCTTTGCTGTGAGATGAGATGTGTCCTCGGTGGCGGGGCGAAGGCGATGTATGTGTGTGTGTGTGTATGTCGCCGCAGTCGATCGGCCGATTGGGGGTGGTGGTTGGGATGATGGTAGAGGAGGTAGAGGAAGAAAGAGGAGGAATTAGTCGCCTAGGCTCGATAGAACTGAGGTGGTGCCGTGCGTGGTGGAGGAGGGTGGTGGTGAGGAGTAGAGTTAGCTTGGTAGGTACCTTAGGTAAGCTAATCAGGTAGCATAGGGTATGGACGGATGGGGGTGGTGGGTTAGGTACGCTATTGGCATAGCACGAGCGAGCGAGTAGACAGAAGGGGGGAGAAAAAAAAAGGCTGTCTTAGATTGAGCGGCGACTGATTGACTGACTGACTGACGAAAGCGGCTCTCCACAACACTCGACTCCTTTTATCAGTCACAGTCAGGCATTTACCTCACCTACTGTAAGTGGTTTTTCTGTACACACGCCCAGCCCCACCATGCTGCGGAGTAGACTATAGGTACCTGCCTTGTAACCCCCGAGCTTTAGATAAGCCGGTGGTGTACTGATCGCCGAGGAAGCTTCTCTACGATACCTGAGCTGCTTACCTAGGAAGTAGTTGTTGTCTTGATGCGGATGGCTGGGCTTCCTCAGACCTGCCTCCCCATACCTGCTTTCCAGTGTGAGCCTGCACAGTGCACACTCGTATGCTCCTCAACTTCATTTTTTTTGGTGCCCAAAGGCCTTATCATCAAATATGATCAGTACCAAGGTATCTAGCTGGGCTAGGTACCTCCCCAGGTAGACAGGTATGATAAGTAGATAAATGTGTGCCTAGGTACAACTTGTCTTGAGCCTCATTCAAGTACCCTAGGGTGAGTAGAGCATCTACTACCATGCAGTCAGCTCCCAAGAGCTCCGGACGACACTTCACTTCTTCGAGTGACAACTGCGTTGCATTGCCCGTTGGCATGAGCCCTAATTGAGACTTGTCGCGTACACGTAGCTGGTGTGTATGCCTTCCATATCTCGAAGAAGAATCACCCGCTCCTCCTACTTTGAAACGACGGTCTCATGCACTAGCTGAGAAACGACAGGTATCCAAGTGATGGTCGGCGCGCAAGTCAACAGAGGCACTGCTATGAACCAGGACCAGTCAGCGAAAGAGATGCATCTTGTTTGGAGTTGTTCATTTGTTCTTCTCAGGTATCATCTTCTTGCCAATGCTAGTACTCCCAAGGTAGTGTCTATCTGATGACTGTCATCAACGCCTCGCAAAATGCATGCTTTCATGGGAGGAGGTGGGCGGGTGGTCGAGTGAGTGCAGCAAGACGGGCACGGAGGTTTGGCAGTGCCGCCCGCCGAGTGTGATCATTTTTTGGTCACGACGTCTCTTCACTTTCATTCACACTACAACAGATCACAGCAGCCTGTGACAGACACACTATTAGTCGCTCCTTGCCTCGCCATTCCCCGTCCCAGCCGGCATGGGCACCGGCCCGCCCGGAGACGTCGGTGTCCTGGCCGTTAGTATTTCCACACCGGTCTCTGTCACGAGCAGCGTGTGTTCTGTGAGACGATTGCCGTTAGTATGGAAGGTGTAAAGAAGTGGACGGGTGAAAGGGATTCATGTTGGGAACGCACCGAATTGAGCTGTTCTCTTGCCATCGATCGTGGTGCTCGTCCAGTTGTCTGGCCACGTTACGTCCCTGTACTTGCCCAGGGCAATCATGGGCTCAATCGTAAACGTCGTGCCTGGCTTGCACTCGCCAACCGCCTTGTTCTTGGCGTAGTGAGGGATGTTGGGAGGGCAGTGGAATATGCTGTTGACGCCGTGGCCCACGTATGTCCTGATGACGCTGCAGCCCTTGGACTTTGCGTGCTTCTCAATGACGTTTCCAAATTCCCGGATCAGGGTTCCCGGCTTGACAATCTTGATGGCCTCTTCCAGGCACTCCCGCGCCGTCTCGACAACACGCACCGAGTCGGGGTCCGCCTTGGCCCGGTCGCCCACGTAGTACGTCTCGTTGAGGTCTCCGTGGTAGCCCTCGTGGTACAGGGTGACGTCGAGATTGATGATATCCCCATCGAGGAGAATCCGCTTGTCGGGAATGCCGTGGCAGATGACTTCGTTGACAGATGTACAGAATGACTTTGGGAAGTGGTTGTAGTTCAGGGGTGACGGGTAAGACTGGCCGCAGGAGCGATATTAGCACATAGACAAGCGCAAGTAGGTGGGAAGAGCGCCGGGGACTCACGTTGCGCTCTATGCAGGCGTTGTGCACGATCTGGTCCAACTCGTCGGTGGTGATGCCCGGTCGGATGGCGGCGGCGGCGATGTCGAGGACCTCTCTCGCCAACCTACAGACCTTGCGCATGGCATTCTGGGCCTTCTCGTCAAGGACCTCCACCTTGTTCCTGTTGACAAGGGAGCGGCCGGACTTGGGGATGCCGTCGGCGGCGTAGTCGGGGTGGGGGATGGACTTGGGCACGGTGCGGCGCTCGGACAGCGGGTAAACGGGACGCAGGGAGCCGGTGAAGGGGAATTGCGGGAATGGGTTGTAGACGCCGGTCTCTGGATCAGGTTTAGATACTACCTTTGGAGGGAAGAAGTTGTGGAATATACTGTTTTCCTGCTTATGGAGGCTCTTGTGCGTGGCCTGCGAGAACGAGAGAGGCATTAGCAGACGGTAGCAAGGCTGGGAGGCCCGAAGGCTTGCGAGGGCGGCGGCCACTGACCCAGTTTCTCTTGAAGCAGTCCTGCGAGCAGAAGTAGCTGTCCTTGATCCCCAGCTTGAGGCAGGTCGGGCACTGCAACGAGCTCGCATCGTTCTGGCAGTCGGAGCTCAGGCACTTGCGCTTTGTGGGCGGTTCGTCGGCCATGCTGAGCTGGGCTTACAGGCAATTCAATCGCAAAAGGGGGGAGGGGAAAGGTGAAGTGTAGGCGGCGACGGCGGTAGGTGGGAAGGGAGGTAGGTAAACTTCGAGTCGAGTCGAGTCGAGTTGGAGAAGAAGGCGGGCGGCAAGGTGGAAGTTGAAAGAACGGTCGGCTGCGCGAAGGAGGAGGACAAGTCTATTTGCCGCTCACGATGCTCTCTTAGTAAAAGTAGGTATTATCTTTCGGCGCAGTGCAATGTTGTTTGCCGGAGGTCTCTTGAGAATGACTGAGCCTAAACCTGAGCCAGAGACAGAAACTGAAACTTTTGAGACCGAAAGTTGTATGTGAAGCTCCCGAGGTCATCCACACACCCACCCAACCCACCTACCTGGTCCGGGCCACTTTCGGCGGCGGCGGTCGAGGGGTCGATTTTTTTCCAGCTACTGCATAGTACTGTACTACTGTAGGTAGCGTAGCGTCCCCTCCTCGTCGTCCGTCCTTGATACATTATTTGTCAAGTGGCGGCCAGATGGTGGCGGCCGTGCTTACAGTTGGTGTACAGCACTAACATCATTTGTCTCAGGTAGGTAGGTACCTGGGCCAGCCTAGCACCTCGCTCAATAGGGTGAGCTACCTAGCACCCTAGGTAGGTACATAAAGTGCCTAGGTGCCGTTGTTCCAAAGGTCGTGGCTTCTGACTTCTTCTGCCGTCTCTATCCGAAGAACCGTGCGATCCACGATCAAGGTCCGCCTCGGCTCGGGAGCAAGGGAAGACAGGAGGTATTCGCTTAGTCACACTGCACTATCAATCGGCTCGGAGAGTTGCTGAGGAGGTAGATGTTCCTGGTCGTCCATACCAGCCAGCCTGATCATCATCGTCTTGGCTCCAGGAAGTCTTCGTCGGCACTCCAACCGTCACAGCGCGAGCCCCCTTTCCCCGGGGTTGGCCGGCCTCCCGCTTCTTCCGTTGCCCGCCGATCGTCATGGTGTCGCCCGGCAAGATCGTCATTGTCGGCGCCGGTCCCGTTGGGTCTCTGGCCGCCCTCTACGCTGCACGCCGGGGCTACCAAGTCGAGGTGTACGAGTACAGAAATGGTAATCATAATCTCATTCATTCGTCCATCCAGCTCTGTGAACCCTCATCCACCTTGTCGTACTCTCTGTCCCTTACCTTGGCATCACCGTCTTCCTACGTCCCTCCAGTCCTCAGACGGGCTTCTTGACCCACCCAAACTGACAACTCCCACCCGCCTCAGACCTCCGAGATCCTTCGACAACACCGTTGAACTTTACCAAATCCATCAACCTGGCCCTCTCTGAGCGAGGCATCAATGCTATGCGCCATGCCGAATCTGGAATTGCAACTGGTGAGACCTCGCTTCTTGACCACGTCTTTGGTGTCACCATCCCCATGAGAGGCCGCATGATCCATGGCCGGCGCCCAAACGGTGAATTGTTCCAAGAACCACAAGATTATGACGTTCATGGTAGAGTAAGCCCTCCTTGCCTGTCCCATTCGCTTATTCAATCAAGTACGCCTCGCGGATGGGCTTCTGACTTTCTGATTCAAGACAATTTTCGCCATTGACCGCGCTGGGCTCAACAAGCGCCTACTCGATATTCTTGAGAGCATGCCTAATGTCAGCTTCTTCTTTAACCACAAGCTGACCGGTGCCGACTTCCGGACTTGTAAGGCCTGGTTCGAGGTTCAAGGCGGGCCTAAGACGGATGGCCGATCAAAGGAGATTGAGGTCGACTTTGACTTCATGATCGGCGCAGATGGCGCCCATTCCGCCGTGCGGTACCATATGATGAAGTACTGCCGCATGGACTACCGCCAGGAATACATCGACACCCTGTGGTGTGAGTTCCAGATTGCCCCCAAGAAAGATGCCGAGGATGTCAAGTCCAAGTTCAGAATATCTCCCAACCACCTTCACATATGGCCGGGCAAGGACTTCATGTTCATTGCTATCGCAAGCGATGTAAGCCTCTGAACTCGTGCTAGTATTTCTTTTGAGCATCGTCGAATAACCACATCTGCTAGGACGGCTCCTTCACTTGCACCCTCTTCCTGCCAAGTGCCCAGTTCTCTAATTTAGAATCCAACCCTGCGAACTTGCCTGCCTTCTTTGACCGGTACTTTCCGGGAGTTACTTCACTGATATCACCAGATGATCTCATCGCCTCGTTCAAGTCGAATCCTCACCTGCCTCTAATCAACGTCAAGTGCAGTCCTTATCATTACTCGTCGTCAGTCGTCATTGTAGGCGATGCCGCACATGCTATGGTGCCCTTTTATGGCCAAGGTATGAACGCCGGACTTGAGGACGTGCGTGTGCTCTTCTCCTTCCTCGACAAGCACGACGACCCCGGCAGCATTTCACAGGGTCGTGCTGCCGCCCTTGCCGAGTATACCGCGTTTCGGGTTCCCGACGCGCATGCAATCAATGATCTTGCACTCCAGAACTACATCGAGATGCGGTCCTCCGTCTTGTCGCCAGCCTACAGGCTACGGAAGATCCTGGAGGAATCCCTAAGCAAATACTTCCCTGGGCTCGGCTGGCAAACCAAGTATTCTCGAGTGTCGTTCGGGAACGAGCGGTACTCCGATGTTGCCGTTAAGAGTGAGCGGCAGGGCCGGGTTTTAATTCGCGCCTTCATGACTGCCGTAGGATTGCCCATTCTAGCCGGGTCGATACTGCTGATTTTCAAGTACAAACGGACAATCAATGCCGGCCTGTCCTCCCTTTCGACATGGTTGCTGCAGCTCGTGCAGCGCCGGTGACGGTCCCAGCTAAGAGGGCCTACAGATGGATAATACGTGCTCATAGCCGGGTGAATATTCGTGTCGTCAACACTGCATTCAGCCTGTAACCTCAATGCTAGTCTACGGTGTAAATAGACACTACAGCTGATTGCTCTGTAGATTGGCCTGCGAGGTGTCGACGAGATCATATGGGACCTTCAGTATCACATTGTTGTGCCTCAACCTTTGATAGCCTAATGTATATATCTGGGTTTTCCAATTCCTGCGATATCTCTAGCGATATCTGAAAAATGCCCGTTTCTTCGTGTTACACTTGCACATGACAAACGATTTCCCAGTCAAACTCGTCCCGACAAAAGACCAGCCATATCAGTAGAGAAGGCGAAAGGGCGAAGAAAGTTGGATTAGGCAATATGGCGGTCCTGTACGTGAAAGTAGCTCGGGTTATCTGGCATTGCAATGTAACAGACGCATGAGCAAGCTTGAAGGCTGGGGACATTGAAGAACCTTTCATCGGTCACCATGAGCGCATAACCAGTTCACACTTGGCATCAAGGGGCCCAGACAGAGCACAGTTCATCATCGGGTTCAAATGCCTTATTATATGAGCCCCCAAACCCTTATAGAGGGCGACAAGTAGGCGCGAAATGGTTGAGACGATCCCTGAGTAAAGTAACTTCATTATGGTATCTTGCTTTTCTCGACATGGGCGCCAGTACATCAGTTCAGTTGAGATAGTTCGATAGTCCTGCCCGAACATTGCGTCGGCTGCTCATGTCGAGGCAGCAATCACTGTGTCAAAAGAGCACTAGCCGCTCTTCTCCTTTGTAATTTTGATCAGACCATCGAGCCAGTTTTGATGGCCATTCAGCATCGGGTTAGGCTTGGTGACAGCCAACTGGGCTGCCGGCTTCCCAATCTGAGATTCTTGGGTCAAGACGCGGACGACGCCCCATTCCAGATCCTCTACAATCCAGGCGTGGTAGACGTCCAGTGCCGTGTTGGCATCACCGTCCTGCCAGGCGCGCCAGGCAAGGCGTCCTGGTGTCGTGCTTGTTGGCGCGACCGATTCAAGGACTTCCGATGGCAAGGGGGGAAATCCAAACGTCGAGAAGCGGAACTTGTCCCCCTTGGCCAAGTTTGGTCCTGATGTAGGGGGCGTGATTTGGCTGACATTGTCATAGTATGACGACCATTGGTTGATGTTGGCGAGAAACGGCCATACTTGCTGGGCCGTGAGACCCTTTACGATGACCTCATTTGATACGAAATTGTCTGTCGTACCCGGCAGGAATTTCTCGGGCCAGATGATGTCGGACGGCATTGTAATTGTAGACTGACAGCTGTACCGAGTCGACGGGGGTAGCGATCTGTTAGTAGAATTGGATGTCGGAGTAGGATTTACAATATATCTTGATGGCACCGGCGATACGGTACAAATTGGTCCACCGATTAATCAGCTCACCTTAACTTCATACCTAAGTATATTTATAAAGATTGCCCAATCTGGTGTGGTGTGGTGTGGTGTAGTGTGGGGCTATCGAACACTAAGGAGGTAGTCAGGTCCGCCTGACGAGCAGGCACGGTACACAGACTTCTAGACTACACCAGGCAAAACCCCTGTACCGCGCCGCACGCAGTCTCCATAGGTAGGTCGTCGGGTTCGAGCTTTCCTGACTTTTCATACCTCAAGACGGCGAATGTACTACACCGCCTCGTCTACAGACCAATAAACCAACGCATTTACTCGAGTTCAAGGAGGATTGCTTCGGAAATGGGACATCACAATCTTCGCTTTGATGGCGATCTTCATTCATTAGAAGGTGCTTGGAGTCCGCCGACAAGTAGGGCCAAGTGAGTCGTGTCTCGCGTGAAGAACCCATTCTCGTCCTGAGTATTGAGAAATAGACAGCTTCTGCGAGGAAGACTATGTCCTGACCAGATATGTGGCCGAGTTCGTAAACTCGTTGACAAATCTCGCATATGGTAGGTTACTGGGCACCTCGCTCAGCAAAACCAGACGACCTTTCCACAAAGACATGCATCCCACAACTAACAGGAGTATTTGTCAGTATATTTGGCTCTCCAGTACATGTATGGTCCTGGACATGGTGGATTCCTAGCGCCAAATTGGGACTTCATGTCCATTGCCTTGCTAGGCCTCGGCATCGGATCGTTCCTGTTTCATGCATCTCTACGGCAGACTCTCGAGTTCGCCGATGAGTTCTCAATGCTCGGTCTGACCTGGTCCATGCTTCAGGCCACCCTCACGGTACGAAAACCACGTTCTGCGGCCAGAACCATATCTGCTTCTCTCGCCGCATGCTTCGTGGCATTTGCAGCATTCTATATTCGTTCGCCAAAGATTATCTATCAGGTTATTGCATTTGGAACAGGTATCCTCCTTGTTATTTTGCAAAGCCAATATCTTTTCCACTATACTCGACCGGTATTCCCAAAAGACAAGAGTCACGACTGGAATATACGGACTTGGAAAGCCATCTCTATATGCCTAGTGGGATATCTGCTCTGGAATATTGACCTCGAGTTTTGTGCCGAGCTGAGGAGCATTCGGCAACAAATTGGGCTGCCATGGGCTTGGCTTTTTGAACTCCACGGCTGGTGGCACGTAATGACAGCTATTGGGGCGAGCCAATTCATGATGGTGGCCAGAGAAGTGCGCGAGGAGGTGAACCGAGAGAAAAAGGAATAATTTTCCGGACTCTAATATCAGTGATGTCACGGATCCGCAAGCAACATATCTCTACAAAGCTTGGTGCAATGTTCGGCAATGAAGCAGTTGGAGGCTACGTAGATCACGAGCATTGCACGTACTCCGGAAGGTTGCCATACCTGCACATAGAGTCAACCGAGCGACGAACAACACGGGTATTGGTGATAAATGTAGTTACAGCTCGGCATTTTCTTATATCGTAGAAACCTTCGCCATTAATGACCGAGATACTTTACGTCATCACAGAGCAACCGGCAAGAGGCCTCGATGTGAGACTGCAGCCTGTCGTGACGGCAATATGTTCCTGGAGAGCGGGTGACTAGTATTGACTACAAAGTTTCCTTCTCGACATTGGCCTGGAGTCGGGCTAACAATGACCTAGCCATCTCAAAGGAATGACATGGTTGGACTTGCCAGATTCCAAATGCCCGTTGACAGCAGTGACGCAAAATTCGAAGTTCCAAGTGCCGGGAAACAGGAACGCAACGCCATGGCTGGAGTTCATAATTATATCGTCCCGATCAGCCTGCCACTCAGCCCCGTCACTGACCTGTCGCACCCAAACACGATATCCGGCAGCCGCCACCGATCCATTGTCCCAGGTCAGTTGCACGGTGGTGGGGTCGACGTTCTGAGCTTGGAGATTAAGAGGCGCAGTGGGTCGACCATGGCCTGGTGTTGCGGGCCACGTGTGAGAAGGGATACCACATCCTGCCGTATTCCAACTGGCAATTGCAATAACATAGTGCTGACCACGCTCGAGGCCCTGAAACTCTGCCCTGCAGCCAGTCTCCCATTTGCTTTTGATGTATGTGCCAGGTGCGACGACACTACGTACGAAAAGTTCATACCCTTCAATCGAGTCAGTATATGGCCCAGTGGGCTTTTGCCAAGTGACGCGGATTCCATCAGAAGTTGCTGTCACAATAGTGTTACTGGGGCCCGGGGCTGTTTCTGGGTGGGCAACAGCGCTTTTGACTTGTGTCCAATCCGATATGCCTACATGCTCGCCGTTGTTAGTTCGAACCTGGTATTCCCACTCCATGCCATCGGAAACCCAGTTGTTGTCGAAGCGATTGACGGCAATGGGTGTCTTACTCCATTCTGTACCGACTATCCTGGAGCGCAGGTCGTATGAATATGCACCGTACACGGCATCCCACGTGACTATGATGCCGCCAGGAGCAGATACAACTTGGATATTATCTGGCACTGGAGTTGGCCGTTGCGGAACAATGAGCGGGACACCCAGCTCTCTCGCCCCGATTTTGAAGTCGTTGACAAGTGTACGGCTGAACGCCTGTGCAATTTGGAATTCGCCCAGTGCATTTGGATGCAGGCCATCGTGACCCGCCGGGCAATCATCAGTCCCGCAGCCGTAGTTCTCCTGTAACCTTACCAAGTGCACCAGGGAGTCCCCTCTCGACCAAGATGGGATTATCTCCGATAACATACTGTTGTATTTCCTTGTGTTGGCGACAAGGTCATCGCGACCGCTGATATACGTGCGATGAGGCACGTTCGCTAAAGCGATGTTGATGTGTGAATTCGACTTGCGAGCGTTGTGGATAACCTCGCTCATGCTTTGCAGCGTACCTTCTGGTCCACTGACGAACCATCCCATGTCATTGAATCCAAGCTCGACCAAGAGCAGATCCGGATGATATTTTGCCACCTCTGCCTCTATGAGATCCCTGGTCTGTGCGGCTTGTCGACCCCATACAGAGAAGTGATTACTATCCCAGTCTTCCGGGATATCCATAGCGTAACCTCCATCAGTGGCTGGTATGGCGGTGCAGGCTTTGCCTCCTGCCGCGAAAGGCCGTTGGGGTCGTGATGGCTTGTTGGGCGGCTGCGTTCCCTTGTATGGACCAACGAACTTTGTCGGGATCCCCTCGGCTTGGAACCACTGCCAGATACGATAGCGCCAAGTGTAGTCACCTTCGGCGCCATGAGAGATGGAATCGCCAACGATCATGACACGAATCGCAGCTTTGTCGCTATTGCGGTCACCGCCAGGATTATCGTGTCCTACCGTGATCGGGCAGTTCATCAAGTGGTCGACAGTGGGGTTGTAATCGAGCTTCAACGCCGGCAGCCTTGACGATTTAGTCTCACTATCATAGTTATGGTTTCCCTCTGCCATTATTGCGGTATCGCCGTCGGACAGAGATCATAGACGTGCCAGGGGTGGCACTAGCAGGTAACTCCCCATGGGACAAGGTGCTGTGCAAATGACCAGGCATCAGAGAATCTGCAACTGTTATTCTCGTCCTTATACTCCTCACATTGCTGTGAGATGCGAGGCAGAGCGTATTCACCCGACAGCATTGTTTGAACCTTGGCAGGTAAAGAGCATACTTGTGGGTCCGAGGACACACCAGCAACGACGTCACTTACGGAGGCCTATAGGCACGACTGTGCTTTTTCGATTTTTGGCCCCACACACTACAACGAGATTCCGTACCCCCCTAGCAGGGCAAAGCTATCTAGTGCTACTCAGCGGCTTATCCGCGTAGTCTTAGCAGTAATTGTAACCAATTAAAATCATATGACTATAATAGATATAATTAGGGTGGCTGTTAGGATATATTGAATATATAGACTATTATATTGGCCCTAGGCATGGCCTTAAAGGAGCCTTATTATGTTGTGAAGTGTGAAACTGATGTATATTGTATGGCTTAACTAACAGAACTTACATAAGCCAGCCGACACCACCTGCCTGCACCTTGTGTATAGTCACATGATTTGGGCACTGTATGCATGGGGTGACTGCGTCTATTTAGCAACTATTTTAATCTACTAAGTCTATAGCCTTTAACGACGTTTATAGTATGTCTACTCTATAGATTTTAAAAAGTAACCTTTCTTTATAGACAAAAGTTTATATATCTTTAAGTAAGTAATTTTAAATCTTTTTTATTTATATAACTTTAGATTTTCTAATAACTTTTTTATATTTAGCTTACTTATTTAATATTAAAATATAATTATTAATTATTAAAATAATAATTCTTAATATTATCAAAAGAAATTAAAAGGTTTTTTTCTTTTTTAGTAAGATTATATAACTTTTTCTTGTTTTTTAAATTATATATTTAATAGAAAATATAATTAAAATTATAATCTTTATTATAATTAACTTAAATTTTCTTATATTTTTTATATAAATATTTAAATTTTATTTTATTATTAAGCTTTTTAAGTTTATTTTTATTTTTATTAAAAGATAAAATAATAAATAAAAACTTATAAAACTCTTCTTTCTTACTTTTTTTCTTTAAATCTTTTAAGAAAAGAAGATAGTAAACTCTAACTATAAGTATAATAATATAAAAAAATAATTAGAAAATCTTAATAGTAGTTATAGTTTTTTAAGTTTTTATAAATTTACAGTAGTAAAGTCTATAGATATGGTGATAGTAGGAGTATGATAGTCTTTTTAGCTATAAAAGCTGATAAAATATGATTTAAATATTAACGACAATAATATAAAGTCTTATTAAAGAGAGTTAGATAAAATATATAGATAATAGAAACTTTATATAGTTGTAACGATCCTTCCTATCAG